GGTCTGGGTCAATGGGGGCAGTGGGGGTCTGGGGGCTTTGGGGTCTGAGGGCAATGGGGACAGTGGGGGTCTGGGGGCAGTGGGGGTCTGGGGGCTTTGGGGTCTGGGGGCTGTGGGGTCTGGGGGTCAATGGGGGCAGTGGGGGTCTGGGGGCTTTGGGGTCTGGCTCAATGGGGGCAGTGGGCGTCGCTGCCCCGCTCAGAGCTGCCCTCATTGCAGACGTCCTCTCCAAAATCAAAGACATCGCCCAGAAAGCCAAAGTGGTCGGCGACCGCGTGCGCAAATTCTTCCGCGCCATCATCGACGGCGTCACCCACGTCGGTGAGACCCCGCCCCGCGCCAAAGACCCCCTTCCCACCCCCTCCCCCCCCTCCCCCGCAGCCCCCCGACCCCTCTGTGCGCCCCCAGCCCGCGCTCTGCGCAACGTTTGGCTCTGGCTCAGCAACGTGGGCGACGTCTGCAACCGAGAGATGGGGACCCCCTTCCAGCGCTGCCTGCGCGTCTTCGCCGACGCCAAGGACAACTGCGAGCGCGCGCTCTCCTTCCTCTTCTTCCTCTGCTACATCATCATCACCTTCAGACCCCTCTGCGGCCTCGCCAGCCGTGCGTGCGCCCCCCTTCTGTGTCCTTGTGCGAGAGGAGGGGTGGGCGCAGCGAGGACCCCCCCCTCCCAGCCTCCCCCGACCCCCTCATGGTGCCCCCTTCGCTTCCCGCAGTCGGACTCCTCTTCTGCATCGTCCCCATGTACGTCCAGTCCTTCCTCAGGAGGGTCGTCGCTGAGCGTGAGTGTCTGGGGGGGTCTGGGGTCCCCCTCTGCTCTCTCTGATCTCAGCTTGGCTCTGTTGTGGGGTTCTGGGGTCCCTCTCCACCCCCCTCTGCCCCTCTGGCTCTTCTGTGGGGTCTGGGGTCCCTCTGTACCCCTTTCTGCCCCCCTCTGTCTCTGGGGCCCTTTCTGACCCCAGTTTGGCTCTTCTGTGGGCTCTGGGTTCCCTCTCTGCCCCCCTCAGTCCCCATCTGGTTGTGGGGTCTGGGATCCCTCTCCATTCCCTTCTGTCTCTGCTATGGGGCTCTGGGATCCCTCTCCATCCCCCTCTGGCTCTGCTATGGGCTCTGGAGTCCCTCTCCATCCACCTCTGTCCCTCTGGCTCTTCTGCAGGGTCTGGGGTCCCTCTCCTCATCCCTCTATCTCTGCTATGGGGTCTGGGGTCCCTCTCTGCCCCACTCAGTCCCCATCTGACTGTGGGGTCTGGGATCCCTCTCCATTCCATTCTGTCTCTGCTATGGGGCCTGGGGTCCCTCTCCATCCCCCTCTCCATCCCCCTCTCCATCCCCCTCTGGCTCCACTCAGTCCCCATCTGATTGTGAGGTGTGGGGTCCCTCTCCATTCCATTCTGTCTCTGCTATGGGGCCTGGGGTCTCTCTCCATCCCCCTCTGTCCCTCTGGCTCTTCCGCAGGGTCTGGGGTCCCTCTCCTCATCCCTCTATCTCTGCTATGGGGTCTGGGGTCCCTCTCTGCCCCACTCAGTCCCCATCTGACTGTGGGGTCTGGGATCCCTCTCCATTCCCTTCTGTCTCTGCTATGGGACTCTGGGGTCCCTCTCCATCCCCCTCTGGCTCCACTGTGGGGCCTGGGGTCCCTCTCCATCCCCCTCTCCATCCCCCTCTGGCTCCACTCAGTCCCCATCTGA